AGGCTACCCCAAGCTGGACTCTATCTTAAAGACTTACAAACATTCCTTCTGTAAAACAACCTGCTTCGTACAAAGTAGTGACTCTTGTTCTTTACTCTCTGGCAGGAAGATCAAGTTGTTAGTTGCTTTAGCAAACCCACAAGACAGAAACCAAGCCCTTCTGCTCTGGAGAAAAAAGCAAAGAGCAGAAACTAAGATCTGGACCTGGTTAGCAACCAGGTCACAGAGAGAGTAAGTTGCTGTTGTTGGGTTTTACCCATCCCAGTTTTAGTAGTCATTTCCGGATTGGAGGTGATTAAAAGGTTTCAAATTAGAGGCATCTTCACCTCTGAGTCTGTGTTGGGTTTCATGTTGCTGACTGTTCACTCACTATCTGATAGAAAGCTTCTGGGGCAATGTGGAAAGATCTGAACAGAAACAAAATAACAGCAAGGAGGAAATACCATGGAGAGGGACATTTGAGGCCACTCTAAGTAACAAGACTGTAAGTAGGGAGCCTGCTGGGAAACTCATTAATTCCAGCAGTATTTTGCCAATCCCATTGCCTGCAATGAGCCTGCTTCCCCAGGAGAAATACAAGGATGAGCATCTGGCTGGCTGCTGTGAGCACAAGCAGAGCCCTGAACATCCAGGGGGACTTGGCACTGGAAATGCAATTGTTAATGAAGATCACCATGAACTGTGCAAGTCTGCTAAGAAGGGACAGTTCTCTGAAGCCTAAACACCTTGGCATTTGCACAGCTGAGACACAGGGCATCGTGAGCAAGCCAAGCAGTGCGACTGAATACAGACTCCACAGTTCAGGCACCACAGTCCCAGGGGAGCCGACCCGACACAGCAAACATCAGTGCAGACACGCGCACGGTTTGATTCAGTAGAAAGCTCCCTGCAGGTAATGCAGAGTTAAATAACACAGCAGTGATGGCAGGGCAGGGAATACAGAAGCAGAGGCAGGGCACAGAGGAACTTCTAGAGAAGATGTTAAATGACCCAGTGAATTAATGGGGGAAAGGCAAATGGAGATAAGGGGATAAAAAGTACAAGAAGGAAGAAATAAACTAAAGGAGAAAAACAGAGAGATAGTTTATAATGGGGAAGTGATGGAAATAAAAAAATCTTTTTTCCAATTGTTTACATCTCTGATTCTGTCTTAAATTCAATACAGAAATTTTACTCTCCTCCTCCTCCTCTTCTTCCTCCTCCTTCTCCTCCTCCTCTTCTTCCTCCTCTTCCTCCTCCACCTCCTCCTCCTTGTCATTATTGTTCTTCTCCTCCTCCTCCTTCTCCTCCCCCTCCTTCTCCTCCTCCTCCTCCTCCTCCTTTCCTCCTCCTCCTCCTCCTCCTCCTCTTTCTCCTCTTCCTCCTCCTCTCCTCCTCCCCCTCCTCCTCCCCCTCCTCCTCTCCTCCTCCCCCTCCTCCTCCTCCCCCTCCTCCTCTCCTCCTCCCCCTCCTCCTCCTCCCCCTCCTCTCTTTCTCCTCCTCCTCCTCCTCTCCTCCTCTTTCTCCTCCTCCTCCTCCTCTCCTCCTCTTCCTCCTCCTCCTCCTCCTCCTCCTCCTCCTCCTCCTCCTCCTCCTTCTTCTTCTTCTTCTCTTCTTCTTCTTCTTCTTCTTCTTCTTCTTCTTCTTCTTCTTCTTCTTCTCTCCCTCTCTCTCTCTCATTGAGAGCTTTAATTCTCACCCCACATCTCCATCACCATCCTAATGACTTGGCCTCCAAATGTTTCCCTCCCATCCTTGGCATCTCTTGCCTAAATCATTGTCTGACAGCTTTATAATGCCATCTCTCTCCTTTGCTGCCACTGTGATCATAACCAAAGAGAAACTAAATTGTATCATGTCCTTGATTTAAATTGTCTGGTTGCTCCCAATCACCTATAGGACAAAGTGGTGGATTAAGAGTGGAGAGTGAGGCAAAGTGAGCATCCGGGGACTGCTGCTGCATCCGGGGACTGCAGCTCTCAGAAGTCAGATGTTGGGAAGAGACAGGAGAGGCTGGCATGCAGGGTGTGGCATTACTATTCCAGGGTGAGCAAGCATCCATCTGGTGAAATAGGAACTCTCCCCTGCAGTAACCAATGGTTGGATGGATATGTGAGCTTTGCTTTCCATTAATGGGAAAGTCGGCTAACACACAGAAGAGACTGCTGTGATTAGGAAGCTCAGTGTTAAAAGTCATGCATTAAACATCTGGAAATTCAAATCTGTTGCAGGCTGGCCACAGTGGGAAGAGAACATGTTTAAATGATGAGAGAATTCTGCCTGCCACTCACTCCACAGGGTTATGTGTGAAAGTGAGCATGAGCTGGGTGGCAGTAACCCACTGTCCCCCATCGATCACTGTGCCCTGGAGCCTCTCAGAGTAAAGGCATTGGCCACACTGTGTGTGATTTTGGTGTGTGTAGATGCAGTCACTTACACACCCCTTATCACATGCCTTAGATTGCTATTTATGTTAATATTTATGCATATCTGCAGGTTTGTACACAGAAAATCACATGTACTGTTCTTTAAAAGTGATTTTAAAAACGTTCAAGGGTTTTATTTCTTTAATCATCAATATGTTTTTTAAATCATCAAACCTCGTGAAACATATTTTTGAGAATGAACTGCCTGTTTGTATGTATTGTTTTTTGTTCACTTACTTTAAAATCTTACTCCTGCATAAACTATGGTCTATGGCACATGTGTCAAACACAAGGCCCGCGGGCCAAATCCGTCCCGCCAGGCCTTGCAATGTGGCCCGCACCGCACTGTCATCACTGCACTCCGCTGTGTTTACATCACAATGACAGTTCATGACTGTTCAGTAAACCATTCGGCCCGCGATTTAGGCTGGATTTTAGATTTTGGCCCCTTCTCTGATTGAGTTCGACACCCCTAGTCTATGGTAATACCTAACCCTGGCAGGAATTAGCAAAAGCAGCTGTGGAGAGTCCACCATAGAAAGGAGTACAGAATGAATGGAGATCTCTTAGTAGAAGAACAAGTTAAAGTCCTCAGAAAACTTTAGTGACTTGCTAACTTTTTTTTCTATATATAAACACTAGAGGTCCAGTGCATGAAATTCATTCATAGGGGAAAGGGTGCCTCAGCCAAGCCTACACCCTCTTGCAACCTGGGTGCTTGGGGATGTCGGACTGCCAGTTTTGGTCCAATTACACAGGGATCCCTGCAGGTTCGGGCCTAAACTGGCGGTCAGACATCCCCCTCTCAATCTGGGACTGCTGGCTCATAACCGCTCACATGCCTGACTTCCTGATCATCCCTTACCACTCTGCCTGCCTGCTTTATGCCCTTACCTGCTCACCTGCCTGCCTGATTGCCCTTGACCACTCTGCCTGCCTGCCAGGTTGCCCTATCCACCTCTGCCTGCCTGCTTGATTGCCCCTAACCACTTGCCTGCCTATCTGATCACCCCTAACCTCTCTGCCTTCCTGATCACCCCTAACTGCTCACCTGCCTAACTGATTGCCTCTAACCATCTGCCTTAGCCCTCACCACCGTGGCTTCATCTGGAAGGGTGTCCAAAATGATGTCCAGAGGTTTGTTCAGCTGTCCAGTCTAATTCACATATTGTGCTTTTATTATTATAGATTTTATATGTTTAGTAATTCCCTGAAAAGGTCACATATAACTAGCTCTTAATCATAGAAGAAATAAAAATCTATTTAGCCTGGCTTGTGTGGCTCAGTGGTTGAGTGTCTACCTATAAACCAGGAGGTCATGGTTCGATTTCCAGTCAGGGCACATGCCTAGGTTGTGGGCTCAATCCCCACAATACATACATGTATATACACATTTACATATATATATACATTTACTTATATGTGTATATATACATTTTATTATACAATTATAAATGTTATATATGATATATATATGCACATTAAATACATTAACACACCCACCTCACATAGTTCCCTTTTTCTTATGAGAACACGTAAGATCTACTCCCAGTAACTTTCAAATACAGTCATGTGCTGCTTAATGACAGGGATGCATTCTGAGAAATGCATCGTTAGGTGATTTTACCCTCGTACGAGCATTATAAAGTGAGTGCACTTACTCAGCCCACTACACACCTGGGCTGCATGGTGCAGCCTATGGCTCCTGGGCTACAAGCCCTCACAGCATGTTACTGCACAAAATAGCACAAAACTAAATTAAGCACAAGACAAAATGATGCCATCAAGAGAAGTGATAAACATGAAATGTAAGAGGCTGCTGCTGGTGTAACATGGCATACTGTTCACGATAAACTTTTCTATATAAGCAGAAAGAGTACACTCTGCGACCAGGATAAAAGTGTGGTAAACATATGAACCAGTGCTAGAGCCGTTTATTATCATTATCAGGTGTAATGTGCTGCACATAATCTGTACGCCTGGCCATGCAGTAGGTTTCTTTACACCAGCATCATCACAAACACGTGACAAATGCACTGCACCAAGAGGTTCTGACAGCCACTATGTCTCCTAGCATTAGGAATGTTTCAGTTCCATTGCAATATTGCAGGGCTGTGTTGTATTTGTGGCCAGTCATTGACCAAGGCATGTTATTCTGTTCAGTGCATGACCATATACAATGTGATCTTATCCTATACTAGAGGGCCTATATATATAGGTGGTGGGGAGGGGGGCATGGTTGGCGGTGGTCCCTCAGCCCAAATTGTAAGAGAGTGCAGGCCAAGCCAAGGGACACCACCTCGGCACAATCGGGGCCAGAGAGGGGACGGACACAGGAGGTTGGATAGCTAAGGAGGGACCACAGAGGGGCTCCAGGATATATACGGCTTGTCTAGCTCAATCCAAATCAGCTGGACCCCAGCAGAAAGCTAATCTACCAATCAGAGTGTCTTTCCCCTAATGGTCAGTGCACATCACATCAACTGGTTGACTGGAAAACTGTTTGTTTCCTAGTGGTCAGTGCACATCATAGTGAGTGGTGGTTGAGCAACTTTTGCACTTAATTAGCACATTACACTTTGATTGGTTGAATAGATGACTGGACGACTGGACTCTTAGCATATTAGGCTATTATTCTATAGGACTAGAGGCCCAATGCATGAAATTCATGCAAGGACCTTGGCCTCCACTACCATGGTGGCCTCTGCCACCTCTGCTGCCTCTGCCTTGGCCCCCACCTGTCGCAGCTTTGTCCAGAAGGAAGTTCGAAAGGACATCTGGTCTAATTCTATATTATTAAACTGTAATGACTAAAGACCAGTACAGGTGGGCAGGGCTGTGAGCAGGGTGAGGCATGTGCAGTGGGCGGGGCTGCAAGCAAGGAGAGGACATGCAATTTTGCTCACTGGGCTTCTACTATAATAATAAAAGCATACTACGCTAATTAGACCAGTCAGCTGACAACCTTCCAGATGTCCTTCCGGACAACCTTCTGGATGAAGCTGGGGCTGCAAGGGCCAAGGCAAGTCACCACGGCTGTGAGGGTTGAGCCCTTTACATGAATTTTGTTCATCATGCCTCTAATAGATAATAAAAGGGTAATATGCAAATCGACCAAATGGCTGAATGACCAGTCGCTATGATGCGCACTGACCACCAGGTGGCAGTTGCTCAATGCAGGAGCTTCCCCCAGCCTATAGTCCCAGGCAGTTAGGCCACTGAAACTGTCCCAGGTCATCAGGACAGTATCTTTTCAAAGACTGAATGTGGCCAGTGATGTTACCTGCCAGTGTGTTAAAACCCGAGAGGTGTAGTTAACAAACATTTTTTATCATGGAAACCTTTGGAAAACAATTTTGGCGAACACACCACCAATGTATCTATAATTTTAATGTATGCCCCGACCCGCAGGGCACAACAACGTGGGGAGAGGGAGGACCTGTGGAGGATGAAAAGAAGGGACAGGGGCACGGAGAAATGGAGGCAAGACAAAGTTCTGATCAAGCCTCAAACTTTATTTTTGGAATGGCAGTATATATACAGCAGGAACAAAGGGGGACAGGATTGCCTATGCAGAGGGGTCTTTGACAGTGTATAATTGGTTTAGGCACTGAGTGACAAGGTGGTAAGGTACCTGGCAACACAGGATTGGCTAACTGCCAGGGCGGTGTAACATTCCAAGGTGTAACATTCCAAGGCCGGGCTAGCTATGGGGGAGGATCAGGAAGGGGACTTTGCAGAGATCCTCTGGAGCAAGAAGTGCTAAGCGGCAGGTTAATCTTTAGCTTCTGGCCAAACCCGCAGGGCACCACATAACTTCTGCTAGAAGGAACTTAATTCTAAGATGGAGTTGTTTTTTCTTAAGACAGAGTTGCTTGTCTCAACTCTGATGGCTCCCAACAAATGTATATACTACTATGTTATATAATATATTCATTACTAAGCACTCAAAATAGACATTTAAAGGATGATGCAAAAATATATGCTTTAATATGTTTCTCATCCAATATATCATCTTACACCCTCCCTGGGATATCTGCACTCCACTCTGAAGACATTCCCATAAGGCACATTTTTAGAGACCAATAAGTAAAGGGTATGTGTTTATGTGAAATTATCTGTAATCCCAGATATAACCCAAAAGCATAATTGTTAATGTCTTGGAACATCACTTTACCTCTGCACCGCTATCCGTAAACAGAAGTACCTTTAGAAAGAAAATACAATGGACAAACTGCTTTGTAATCCTCTTTTCCCATAGAACACATTGTGAATAATATCTTACATATTCTTCTAAATCATATTTGTAACTTTTATCTTTTTATTTCATTTTAACTGTAACATATGCTCCTTGTGAAATTTTATTAAATGTGTATAAGAAAGGAGAAAAAAATTAAAATTACTCATTTTCAGTCCCCAGACAGAACCACGTCTAACACTTGGCTGTTGTGTTTTTGGTCCAGTTTTTTTTTTTTTTTTTTTTTTTTTTTTTTCCTCTCAGTGCATTTAGTCTTCCATATTATGCAGATTCTTCTGTTTTATCATCTTATATGTATTGTTATACCTTCCATGTAATGAAATACCCTCCTACAATACCATCTGAATGAGTCTGTATAGCAGTGCTTCCAAAATTGATGTTCTGAACATCACTCTAAAATACTCTAATAGGTACACCGAGAGAAAAAGACATTCAATGGTAAAATAAGTTTGGAAAATACTGCCTATTTGAACCATTATAATACACATTAACTATAAAGTCTCTCAAATCCCACAACTAAAGAAAAACATTTGGCATTACTTAGCATGGTGTTTTGCAAACATATTTGAGCATGATTCACCTTCCTGAGGCACTTCAAATAACATCCTTAAAGCGGTGCTGACTCCTCTGTATGCCAGTCTTGTCTCCTTGTACATTTAAGTTGTCATGATTTAACTACAAATGTCTGCATTGTAATGAATTTCTTGTCCCTATATCTTATGCCTTAATACAGTTTAAGATGACTTTAATAAAGCAGACTGTCAGCTTGAAGAGTTATGTAGACCTCTAAGATTTCTCTCCTGACAAATCAGTTTACAGAAATGTTAAGCTAAGTTGTACCCGACTGTGAAAACACAAAACCCATCTCCACAAGCCACCCAGGACTGGGGTTAATAGTAAAGTAGTAAGTAAATACATAAATAATTTGCCTTCCTATTTCAAAAGCAATTAATGTTTATTGTAGAAAATGTAAAAGTAATGTGAGGAAAAAAGGCAGATAAATCACCCATAACCTCACGAGTTAGAGGAACCACTATCAACATGGGAGGAAGCACAAAGCAATGTGCTCTACCCATGGTCTCACTTTCCAGTTCCAGTTACCTGGGGCCAACCACAGTCCAAAATATTACACAGAAAATTCCAGAAATGAATAATCAACAGGTTCTGAGTAACGTGATGAAATCTGGAGTTGTCCCGCTCCATCCCATCCACACCCCTTTGTCCCGCATGTCCATGCTGCATATGCTCCCCGCCCAGTAGCCAACTCAGTTATCAGATCCGCTGTCGCCGTATCTCAGTGCTGTGTCCAAGTGACTCTTGTTTCACTTGATAACACCACATTCCCACTTAACCCAGTGTGTGGTTATAATTGTTCTATTTTATTACTATTGTTGTTAATCTCTCACACTTACAGACGGGGAGGTGGGAGATGGCCACAGGCCTGGGAGCCAGGCGTCCAACTTCCAAGCCCAGAGTCGGTCCGTAGGTAGTAGGCGGTCGCCCTGTCAGGGTCCAGTGCAGGTGACCAGGACCAGCCATGACAGCAGCAGTTGCTCTGTGCAGAGGCCCTGGGCACATCCACAGGATCTGAGGCTCCGGGATTTGGGGTCTCTAAAACTCATTTTGGAAAAAACCTAAAGCTCCAGCTTTCCTCCGTTGCGATGGAGGGCAGGTTACAGACCAGAAGCTGATAAACATCTAACACTGGAGGGCGCGGCTATGTGTTCTGAGCGTCCACACCGCCCCCTTCATCCTGCCACCCCACTATTTCCAAGCTGAGCTGCGTGCCCAGCCGTCTACACGGCGGGAGGGGAGCAGTGGGCTGCCCTGGGGCCACCGCAGGAAAGGCATGTCCAGGGAGGAAGCCTAGGCTGAGGACTCTGAGGAATTCAGTCTCATCCTCACCTTCATAGTAAGGGTGGCAGTGAGTTTCTGGCGCTCTGGCTTTTACAAAGCCCTTTGCCCGCGATCAGATGAAGCCCAGAGGCGGGTGGATCCCGCCCTGAGAGGTGAGTTACTGTGGGCAAGCCGTTGAGCAGCTTTTGCAATTTGGATTGTGAGCAAACCCACCTGGGTGCATGCCCGCACACTCACCGCGCAGGGCTGCCCTGAGGCACGCCCGCCCACTGGTTTCCTCACTGTGTGGGCCCATGCCCAGCGAAGGCCTGAAGAGGCCCCCTGGTTCCACAAGCCTCCTTCACTCCGGTGACCGCCCCATCATGAGCATTCCCTGGGAAGTGGCTGATCAGAAAGAATGAGGACCCTGGAGAGTCGGGGTTCCAGCCTGCATCCTGGTGCACAAAGTCTGGGGTCCCACCCAGCCCAGCGATGATAGCCCAGCCGCAGTGACTGAGCAGGATAACTGTGGGGACCCCAAGCTTTCACCTCGGAGGAGTTTGTTGCGGGAAGTATCGCTGCGGGGTTCCCTGGCTCCATTGCCTTCGCCAGAAACAGCAACTACACAGCATGGGGCCTATTTGGGCTTTTAAAAAGAGCTCTTGATTCTTTGTAGGTGGCAGGTAAAAACTTGTCTACAATATCAGAAGCAAGAAATGTTCCAATTTTTTTTTAATCTATTTTATTTTATTTATTTTATTTTTTTTTTACATTTTTTAAATTTTTTTATTTTTATTGATTATGGTCTCACATAATTGTCCTTATTCCCCCATTCCCATCCTAAACCCCTCCCTAGATATGCCCCTACCCCCCAACCCCCGTTATCCACGGCCACTGGCTAGGCCCATATGTTTGCACACAAGTCCTTTGGTTGATCTCTTCCCTTTACCCCCACCCTTACTTTCCCTCTGAGGTTTGACAGTCTGATTGCTGGTTCTCTTTCTCTGGGGCTGTTTGTGTTGTTCAATATTTCCTCTAGATGTGTGAGATCATGTGATCCAAGAAATACCCTTGTAAGGATCTAAACTGCAACAAGCCATAATGGTCATGCTGAGAGGCAAATGAATCAGTCTGTAGTGAGTTCCTATCTGGGCCAACAGTTCTTTTGAGTCCCAATTTCAATGCCAGATAGTTCCTTATGTGTACATGCCAGCCATGATATTTCAGATCTGGTTGGTGGACAAATGGTGGTAATGCAGGTCCGCCCGTCTCTGGTTTGGTCCGATAGAGAAATTTTTTTATTTTATTTTTATTTATTTATTTTTATTTTTTATTTTTATTATTTTTTTTAATCAATCTTTATTGTTCATATTGTTACAAAGGTTCCTCATTTCTTCCCCCCTCCACCACGTTCCCACCCCACCCTCCGCCCCCTCCCCATCCCCCATTGTCCTCATTCGTACGTGCAGTTTATGTTCAGTCTCTTCCTCCCTCTCTTTCGCCAATAGTAAATCCCTTTTCAGATAGTAAATCAGTTACTTAGCAT